CTGCCTTTCGTCCTTCCTGTCTCCCTCTAACTCTATAAGCTGTGTCCACAGAAAATATAGCCAATAAAATCAACATTCCTTACTAGCTTACTATAATTTGTGGGTGACTATAAAACCTACCTAGGAGAGATAACGGAGATAATGTTTAACTGGCTGTGAGAAAAGAGACACTGCCTTATTTGCTGCATCGCTCTTTAAAAAGTAGCCACTAAAAAAAAAAGCCACAAATTCCAGTGATTGGTATGGCATGCTTTCTTTCAGAGTGTGTCAGGTTTTCCCTTGGGTGTCTAGCTCATCAAAGTTGATGGGCGTTAGTATCTTGTCACTGAAGAATTTATGTTCAGGGGAAAAGAACATAACCGGTTACCTAAGGTCAAGCTAACTTCCTTCTCTAAAAAACTTTCCTGTAAGTTCCCCCTTTTAAGACATTCTTCAGAATGGATGGTGATGCAACCCTAGAACCTGCTTGCATGACCCACCGCAAGGCTGATCGTTTTCAGAAGCACTCGACAGCCTGTGACTCAGCATCGTCATGTGTTGGGGGGTCAGGGCGGAGTTAATCTCACCAGAAAAGCTTATTCCAAATTGGTTGTCCTTTCACCGGTTTGGTAAGGGAAATGAAGAAATTATCTCTAGCAAAGATCAATGGTGCTCTTCTGGAAGGGAGAACAGGGTGTCTGTGACCTTTGTCAGAGAGGGTTCAGTTAATTGTTGGACTTAAGAGGTTTCAAAAGGTTCATATTCCGGCAATCCTGTGACGGACATTCTGTTTTGTTTAGTTGATGTTTGTTCATATTAAGGGTGTATCTCGGTGGTGCTATGCCATTGGGGGTCACCTCTTGAAGTTGTGCTATTTTTCTGTATGAGGGTAAATTTAACTCATGATTGATGGGCCTATAGGGACAGAAAATAGAACAAGGGTTTGGGGGGTGAGGTATGGAAGTGGGGAAGACAGGGATGGGAGATAAAAGGGAGACAATGTTTAGGAGTCTGGAAAGGAAAAATATGTTTGGAGACTGATTATGGAAGCAATTGTACAATTCTCTTTGACGTATGGAAGCAACTTTACAATTCTGTTTGACATGATTGAACTATGAAATGATATGACATAAATGTTAACTACCAAGTAATAACAAATGTTTAAAAAGTTTAGATCCAGAAATGGGTTTGGGCTCACACTAAATCCTAGTTCCAACTTAAGAAACAATTAGTTCTTACATAGGGAACACAGAAGATACAGGTTCTAGAGCAAAATGTGGCGAAAAATTTAGATGATGCCCAGCTATCAGATAAAATAGCGTCGAGAGTCTAAAAGGCTTATCTCCAAACAAGCAGCCATCTAAGTGAGATATCAACTGATTTCACATGGAAGAAGCACACCATCATCAGTCACCAAAGAATTAGAATCCAGGAGAGGGATCAGTATCAGACCCTAAATTGTGAGACTCCAGTGTGCAGAAAACATGGCTGACAGTGGAAGCACAAGGTTCATTTGTAGAACTACATAGGAAATAAGCCTCTAGAGAATTCCCCCCTGTCTACACTTGAGGGATGGGAGGAATATGGTGCTTGGGGGGGATGAGTAGAGAAGATCAAAGGCGTAAATCTAAATTGATCAGTTAAAACTTTGTCAGCAGATATCCTTGCTATGATGCAGGCTGAACCTGATCTGGTTTCCAAAGGTTTCTGTATTTTTGGCTTGTATTGTTTGGTTTAGTGTTTGTTTGTTCATATTAGGGTATATCTCAGAGGTGTCATGTCATTGGAGGTCACCCTCTTGAAGTTGTAGTAGTATATACTCGAGTATAAGCCGACCCGAATATCAGGCAAGGCACTTACTTTACCACAATAACTACATTAAAAATGTGTTTACAAACTCTGCTTATACACCAGTATATATGGTACATGTTTTTCTGTTTCCTGGCATATGAAACCCAGGATAGATGAACCTATAGTGACAGCAAGTAGAATAAAGATTTCGGGGGGGTTACAGTTGGAGGGGCCGTGTAAAAGGGAGATGATGGGCAAGGAGTTCATGTAGAAAAATACTGTCTGGAAACTGATTGTGGTAGCAACTGTACAGTTCTACTGATGTGATTGAACTATGGAATATGATACATGTATCAAATCCCAAGAATAATAATTTTTTAACTAAGAAAATATTTTTTTAAAAGAAATTATAATTAGCACCATCATCAAAAGCAGTGTCACAAGGTGAGTTGAAGGAGTTAACAGTGATGGGAAAGTCACATTGGTTATGAGTGGGGCTGCACTGCCAATTTTTGAATTGGCAACAATAATTTTAAAAGTTCATAGAAAAATCTTCCAAGTCCATATTTCTAAGAACTTTTTGAAGCCTTATACAGTCCAAACTCTACCCTGGAGTGAAGTCCCCTGCCTCTAGTCGCCTGATGGCGTGCATCATCCTGATCCTGTGCCACTGTCTCATGTGTTAGAGCAGAAGAGTCCCAGCTGCCAGGCTCTGGCTTATTATTGTTACCTGGCAGCCAGCACTGGGGGAGGGTCGGATTGTTCCTGTTATGTTTTATTCTAGGTCCCTGCTCCTCTCGCTCTCCCCATTGCCGCCAGCCCTAACACACAGCCACCCACCCCCACTCGCACCCCGCACCCCCATTGTTGCTCCCTTCTGCTGTCTCTCCTTTACATTTACATCCTCTTGCTCCAAAGCCTCGCTCTCTTGTCATCTCAGATAAAAAGGCCCCATGAGGCAGGAGGCTGACAATGATGTACTTGGTGATTTGATAACTGTGTTATGTTGAGTCCCTGTGCAAATGAGTTGTATTCTGTAAGGATTAATGCTCTAGTGCGTTGTCCTCTCATGAGCTCTTCTCTACCCTGTCTCCTTTAATCCAAATCTGACATCTGTGTCTCGGTGATGTTATTTCTCCGAGCCTCTGTAGAGTCTGCAGCATGCTAATGATGCTCTGGCTCTCTGGTTACAGTTCACATGTTAGCCGGGGTAGGGCTTCAGGATTTCCAAAAAGATAAGCAATTCTTTCTTTGTTCTTGACTTTTTTACGTGGAAGCATTCAGAGATTTTTTAAAATCATTTTATTGGGGGGAGTCATACAACTCTTTATCACAATCCATACACACATCTATTGTGTCAAGCACATTTGTTGCCATCATCATTCTTAAAACATTTGCTTTCTACTTGAGCCCTTGGTATCAGCTCTTCATTTTTCCCCTCCCTCATGAACCCTTGATAATTTATAAATTATTATTATTTCATCATGTCTTAACACTATCCAACTTTTCGTTTCACCCACCTTTCTGTTGTCGGTTCCCCCTTTCTACTCCACCTTCCCTCCACCCTCCCAATACTGCCATTCTCACCACTGGCCCTGAAGGATTTATCTGTCCTGTGTTTCCAGTTCCTATCTGTACCAGTATACATCCTCTGGTCTATTTGAATTTGTAACGTATAATTGGGATCATGATAGTAGGCGGGGGTGGGGGTGGGGGGGGTGATTTAAGAACTAGTGGAAAACAAAATAATAATTTATAAATTATCAAGGGTTCATGGGGGAGGGCAAAACGGGGAGGGAGGGGGAAAAATGAGGAGCTGATACCAAGGGCTCAAGTAGAAAGCAAATATTTTGAGAATGATGAGGGAAACAAATGTACAAAAGTGCTTGACACAATGTATGTATGTGTGGATTGTGGTAAGAGTTGTACAAGCCCCCAGTAAAATGATTTAATTTAAAAAAAAAGAACTAGAGGAAAGTTTTATGTTTCATTGTTGCTACACTGCACCCGGACTGGCTCATCTCCTCCCTGCGACCCTTCTGTAAGGATATGTCCAGTTCCCTCCAGATGGTTGGGTCCCCACTCTGCATTCTCCCCCTCATTCACAATGATTTGATTTTTGTTCTTTGATGCCTGATACCTGATCCCATTGACACCTTGCGATCACACAGGCTGGTGTGCTTTCTTCCATGTGGGCTTTGTTGCTTCTCAGCTACATGGCCGCTTGTTTACCTTCAAGCCTTTAAGACCCCAGATGCTATATCTTTTGATAGCCAGACATCATCAGCTTTCTTCACATTTGCTTATGCACCCATTTGTCTTCAGCCATTGTGTGGGGAAGGTGAGCATCATGGAATGCCAGTTTAATAGAACAAAGTGTTCTTGCACTGAGGGAGTACTTGAGTGGAGGCCCAATGTCCATCTGCTACCATAATACTAAACCTATAAATATATGCACAAAGATCTATTTTCCCATCATCATATATAAATATAGTTACATATGTACTTGCCTATATATATATCTCTATAAATGCCCTTTGCTTCCTAGTTCTTTCCTCTATTTCCTTTTACTTTCTTCTTTTTACTTTCTTATCATGCTCAGCCTTCATTTAGGTTTCGTACTTCCTTGCTCTGTTCCCCTTGCTGTTCTGTTGCACACCCTTAGTGTTTTGCCTCGGTGTGGTGGGGTCAGATTGGGTGCAATTACCACACTGTGTCTCCAGTGTTGTCCCCTGTAGGGCTATGGGTCAGTGAGGGTTTTGTTTTTCTTTTTTTTTTGGGGGGGGGGGGTGGGTGTTGTTGTTTTTCTTTTAAGAAAAACTGTGGTCCTATAAATAGACTTTTCATCTAAGATCTTAAATTGATTTAATATTTGTGAATAAATGTGTGGATGCTATTCAAAGTCAAAGACTGTGTGGGTGTGGGTGTGAGAGAGAGAGAGAACTCATCGCTCTTGAATTGATTTCTACTCATAATGACCTTTATAGGACAAGTAGAACTTCCCCTCAAGGTTTCTGAGACTGTCGCTCTTTATGAAAGTAGAAAGCCTCATCTTTCTCCTGTGAAGTGGCTGGTGGTTTCCAGCTGCTGCCCTTCTGTTTAGCAGCTGCTGTGTAACCACTACACTGCCAGGGCTCCCTTCTTCTGGTGAAGAGTATGATAAAGGTGAATAAGAGGTTGAAACATAACGATGTGCCCATTTCAAGTGTGTCCCTGCGCCCCGCCTACAGGTCATGGATGAGCATGAGAGTGTGGAGCAGAGTCGGCGAGCCCAAGCCGAACCCATCAACCTGGACAGCTGTCTCCGTGCCTTCACCAGTGAGGAGGAGCTGGGGGAGAACGAGATGTACTACTGCTCCAAGTGTAAGACCCACTGCTTGGCAACCAAGAAACTGGATCTCTGGAGACTTCCCCCTATTCTGGTATGGTATGGTCCACTTCTGATAGAGCAGGAATCTGGCATAAAGCAATGAAGCATCCAACCAATGGGAGCTTTTGTTATTTTTAGAATAAGACCCACCTGGCAGGACTGTTTAAGACCATTTTTCTATACAAAATTGTTGTGTTGGACACAGAGATGAATTGTTCTACGGATATTTGATAGTTCCTGTTTCTAAAGAGATTATATCCCAGAAGAGTGAAATTCTGTAGACCAAATAATTAATTCAGCACAATATGTGAGAAGTGGCGCAGTCTGGTGAATTTCAATTTCAGGAGAGATTGAAAGGCTTTCTCCCCACTCCTTTCCCCTCTCACCCCCACCAGTAGGCGCTTTTGATAGGATTTAAGAGACAGCAACTGAGCCTACATTCCACTTGGTCCCATGGCCCTTGGCACACTCAGAAATGAAGTGTGTGCACATGCACACAAGGGCAATTCACTTCACTTCTGCCTTCTCCTGCTGCTTGTCAAGAGAGTTTGTGTTAATAAATCTTCCTGTTCTGAGAGGCCCAGATAAGAAATTTGGTTATTCTACCCTATCATTTGACTTTACGTGTCCCATTCTGTTCTCCTGCCCTTCATCCTCACAGCTTACTGCCACTTGAGCATGTCTTCATCCTACTGGGAATGTGGACTTTTCATTCCTTACGCAAGTTTCTAGGGATGTCCTTCATACCCACATATGAATTCTGCCCTCATACTAGCCATCTTCAAGGAGGCCTGCTTGAGATATCGCTTCATTCGTTTAATTAGGTGTGAGGGCATCATATCAGATGTAATACTACTATAAGGTGTAAGGTATAATTAGCATACAGTTAAATGCATAGATTTTAAATGATCAATTTGATGAGTACTAAACATATACCTACCACTCAAAACATAAAATGTATTCATTTATAAAAATCATGTTTTAAAGAATGAGTAAATGTTATACATTGTTGAACATTCAAATATATTAAGCTTATTTTTTAAAATATGAATGTAGGAGGGGCTTTCCAAAGCTTATGGAGAATTCCATTTTCTTTCATTTCCATTTCCATATACTTTTTAAAACCCTTTCATATCTTGCAACCCTTTAACACTGATTTTTTTTACTTTTTCTCCAGATTATTCACCTTAAACGATTTCAATTTGTGAATGGCCGGTGGATAAAATCCCAGAAAATTGTTAAATTTCCTCGTGAATCTTTTGACCCTAGTGCTTTTTTGGTACCAAGGGACCCAGCTCTCTGTCACCGGAAACCACTCACACCCCAGGGGGACGATCTCTCTGACCCACGGGTTCCAGTGGGAGAGGTGAAGAAAGTCGAAGGCCAGAACTGCTCCTCCTCAGCTGGGGATGAAGATATGTCCTTGAGCAAGAGCCCGTCCTCACTCAGTGCAAACATCATCAGGAGCCCGAAAGGTGAGGAGGGAATATGCCAGTGGGGGAGCGGGGGCCATATAGTTTCTCTGTCTTTGACTCTTGCTTAATGGAGTTTGACAGTGCTTAATAAATTGTGGTCATAGTTTTGTCTAATAATTTGACCCCCTAAAAGGAGTGTTTATTTATAAAGCTCCATAATGTATTAATAATAATGTTTTTAAGGGAGGGGGGAGCGGGGAGGGAGGGGAAAAATGAGGACCTAATGCCGGGGGTTTAAGTGAAGAGCAAATGTTTTGAGAATGATGAGGGCAGTGAATGTACAAATGCGCTTTACACAATTGATGTGTGTATGGATTGTGATAAGAGTTGTATGAGCCCCTAATAAAATGATCAAAGAAATAAAAATTAAAAAATAATGTTTTTAATAGAATCTGACATGAATTAGCCTTCTGCTACTTTCTAAGTCTGAGGTACTTTTATATTTTTAGGGCATTGCAGTCTCTAGGGGCTTGGCCGTGAGGGACACAAGAATGTAATTTACTGGCTACCGAGTGAGAACTAAGGAGCAGCCTGTCTGCATTTCCCCATCCTTACTTTTGTGTGTGCACTTAGGGCATTGGTTCCAAGTGAGCATGTGGTGATGAGTTTGTCTTGTGACATTTAGATTTATGAATCTTCTCTCCCTTTACAGGTTCGCCTTCTTCATCACGAAAAAGTGGAACCAGCTGCCCCTCCAGCAAAACTAGTAGCCCTAACAGCAGCCCCCGGACTTTGGGGAGGAGCAAAGGGAGGCTCCGGCTGCCCCAGATTGGCAGCAAAAACAAACTGTCAAGCAGCAAGGAGAACTTGGACACCAGCAAGGAAAACGGGCCCGGGCAGGTTTGTGAGCTGACCGATACCTTGAGCCGAGGGCACATGCTGGGGGGCAGCCAGCCCGAACTGGCCACCCCTCAGGACCATGAGGTAGCGTTGGCCAATGGATTCCTTTATGAGCATGAGGCTTGTGGCAACGGCTGCAGCAATGGTCAGCTTGACAACCACAGTGAGGAAGACAGCACTGATGACCAAAGAGAAGCTGTTCATGTTAAACCCATTTATAATCTATATGCAATCTCGGTAAGTGGTTTCTTGTTGGCTTTCCAAGTGGTTTGTGCTTTTCAGTAGCTTGTTCGTTTTCCATCATTCATTCAGCAAGCATTTATTCAGTGTCTGTGTCATGTCTAGACAGTGAACTTGGTGCTAGCTAATGTTAACAGAAGATACCGTAGTCGCCTGGGTAGACTCCAAGGAGAGTGGTGAGTGAATGGTCATGTGAGCAGGCAGAGTTCCCCTGGAGTGGAGCCACGGTCATAGGAAGGACAGGCGCTCACGTGGAGTCAGAGGAGGAGCACATGAATCTAGCGAGGAGACCCAGAGGAACAGCCTCCAGGGCTCCGTTCTGAAGGCACCAGTCAGCGAAGGGATGAGAGATGGACATGGGCCCAGACGGAGGTAACAGCATGGTTTTTCTGGAAGTACAAAAATGCAGAACAATTTCAAGCAGAGACCCTAAGTTCTTTGTAACTGGAGTCACAAGTTCAAGTCACTCATATGAGGGAGCTTCCAAAAAGTCCATGGTAAAATTCCATTATCTTTTTAATTTCCTTTTTCCCCACACTTTTTGAACCCATCTATACTGGTGTGTTCCTCGGGACACAAAGGTTAACATGCTCAGTTCTGCTAAGCAGGTTCATGAGCCTTCAAGCCCACTCAGAGGTGCTTAGGAAGGAAAGGCCTGATGATCTATGTCTGGAAAATCATCCTTTACAAACCCTAGGTGACACATAGGGGAGTTGGAAGTAACAGCTAACTTTATTTTTTTTAACAGTATCTTTTTTAAAAAAATCTTTTTATTGGGGGTCATACAACTCTTCATCACAATCCTTACATATATCCATTGTGTCAAGCACATGTGTACATATGTTGCTATCATCATTCTCAAAACATTTGCTTTCTACTGGAGCCCTTGGTGTGAGCTCCTCATTTTTTTACCTCCCTCCCCGACCCCACCCATGAACCCTTGATAATTTATAAATTATTATTATTTTGTCATGTCTTACACTGTCTGATGTCTCCCTTCACCCACTTTTCTGTTGTCCAACAGGAACTTTTTTTAAGGAGTTTTTTTTATTTCTAAAAAGTAATTATTATTTTAAAATGGTTACTCACCTACACAAGATTTGGAGTTTCTGGCTGTTGAATTTTGTTTGTTTATAGATGGTTCCAAAGAGATCACCACTTCAGTGACCTGTATTTCCCTGCTAAGGTGCTTGTGCTGTGGCCGGGTCATGGTGTGGGGTATTGCTGACATCCTGCCCTTTCTCCTCTCTTGTAGTGCCACTCAGGAATTCTGGGTGGGGGCCATTATGTCACTTATGCCAAAAACCCCAACAGCAAGTGGTACTGCTACAACGACAGCAGTTGTAAGGTACGTCTTCTCACTCGTGGAATGCCGTTTAGGAGCCGTCATGTCAGCAGACCTAGGGGGGATGGCGGTAGGAGGGCCCAATGGGGTATTACTTGAAATAAAGGACTTTTTCCTAAATAGGAAATTTTTTTGTTGTTGTTGTCGTTGTTGTTGTTACTATCAAGCTATAGATGACGTTAATATTAAAGGAACAACCATATATGTGCAGTAGGAGATGAAACTAATGAATAGTGAGGAAAAGAAATTTATTAATGAGGAAAAGTTGCTATCTTGTGAACTTTGGGGATTTTATAAGAGTGTTTGGGTGGTTTTTGTTTTGGGGGTTTTTTTTGGTCATTTGTTTGCTATGTCTGTGGAGAAAGACGAGCCTTTCTACTCCCATACAGTACAATCTTGAGTTACCAACAGGGCAGTTCTACCTTGCTGTGAGTTGGAATCGATTCAATGGCAGTGAGTTGTGGAGTTAAGCACTAAAATGTTGTACGGATTGAAGCAGCAGCTTCCATAGCTAGCAAGGATGGCTAGGATTAAGAATCCACGTGATGACAGCTTCTGTGTTCAAGACTGTTCTTGCCCTTCAGGAACTTCACCCCGATGAAATTGACACCGACTCTGCCTACATTCTTTTCTACGAGCAGCGGAGGACAGACTACGCACAATTTCTGCCAGAGATCGATGGCAAAAAGATGGCAGACACCAGCAGCATGGACGAAGACTTCGAGTCCGATTACAGAAAGTACTGTGTGCTGCAGTAAGGCCCTGACTGGCTGCAAGGCGGGCTGCTGGCGAAGGGAAAGGGTTCCCTGCAGCTGACCTTCGGCAAAGGTGTCGCTGAGACGCAAACTAAATGTAGTTATTTTATCCTGTGACCCTGAAGCACAAAATAAAAATCCTAATTACAATAGCATTTCACATAACAATAATACTACCCTTGTTCTGAGCTGTCTCCCACAAGCTCTCTGGTAGAGAACTCTCAGGCAGAGCCCACCATTAGCCTGTAAGCAAAAGGGTTTGGCAGCAGCCACCTGGGACCAAATAAGAACTTCACTGTGCTTGTCCGGATTCGAACAAACATGTAGCGAGTACAGCGTTTGCCAGTAAGCCTAATGAGATCCTAAGGATTTCCTTGGAGTCAAAGAAAAACAAAACAACAACAACAACAAAATTGTAGTGTTGTCTGGGGACGACATGATATGCTACCTCCTTTTCCCCGAAGTTTTATTCCATTCTATTGACAAGACAAGGAAAGCAAGACCATGAAGATGTGCAACGATTCTTATGGTGTGGACACAGATTTTTAGACTTACTTTTCAGACCTTTCCCCCACTCTTTGTCATGCTTTTTGTTTTTGACGTCCTGTTGGACACACCCTGTAAGTCAGGAAGGGCAGGACTCTAGAAGGGATGGGTCCCCCCTCTGGCCGCCGCCTTGCTTGGGAGACCCTGTAGAAAGGAAAAGCATCCTGGGAAACCCTCTCAGGCAGGATACTTAGCGTGTCCTCAAATGTGCTTCCCCAACCCCTTAGTGTGGCATCATTTGTCCCATCTTCATCATCTTCATCCACATGCACGCGTTGCACAAGGAGCTGAGCTGAAAACCTGCCGCAGAGCCAGCTTCTGGTTCGCAGTCAGTGGTGGCTTTTTGTTTGTTGAGGTGTTTTTGCACTTTATCGAAAGGAGAGAATACTCATAAAAATTTGTTCTAATTTGATGGCTCTAAATTAACTCTAATTTGATGGCTCTAAATTAACTCAGAGTAGTTTCCCCTTTCTTTACACTTAAAAACAAAACATATCCCAAACATTGATTTTATTCATAGATATTTTTGATGAAATTGGTGGATATAGGAAAAAAACTTTACTTCTATTTTGCTTAAGTGCCCTTTTTTTTTGTTTTGTTGATTTCCCAGTTAATTGCTTACTTTTATTTTCCTTTCATTATTCAAGACTGGAACAAAGATAAAAATGTTATTTATTTAAGCCTTTTTTTGTTTTTTAACTTTTGTTAACATATTTCAATAGTGTAGTGTACCATTTTGTGTTTTGTTTGGTTGGTCCTTGGTATTTGTTGGGGCCCTGGAAGTGAGTAGTCTCATTGATTGCTAGATTGCACTAATCTTCCTCCTTCAGAGGTAGTCGGTACCAGTGTCACTAAGCCTTTGTGTTCTGACATCTGACATCAGGGGCTCTTCAGCTCTCCGAGGGTCCGGAGAGATGGTCGGAAATGGCTACTTCAGGTCAAAACCCTTTTCAGAGGAAGGAGTGGTTTAATGTGACCAAGTCACCAAAATCAAGACTTCAGTGTTTGGGAGATTTTCAATATACAAAATCTGTCCATTCTTACATGGTCAAGTCATGTTTTATTTAAGCAGGTAGCACAATCTACTAATGTTGTTTGATCTGTGTATGTTATATTGGTTGTAATTTTTTTTCATTCATGAATTAGCAGAAATTTTATTAAATTAACTATTAACTACATTCACCTTGTAAATTACTGTATAAAACTTGACAATGCACTGACTTTAGAAAGATGTTAATGTACATAAATAGAGTGTAAATAAAAGTGTTGATGTACCGAAATATGAACTGTATAAAAAAGTATTGGTAATTGTATATGGAGTGTTCCTGTTTATCTGTAACTATTATCCAAACAAATTAAATACTGTGGATGCTTCTTTGCCCTCTGTTTTCTCCCTCCACAAGTAAACATGAAAGTCAAACTCGTCTGCCTTTCTCTGTGAATCCCGGGCTAACCCTCCAACTTGAACAAGGCCTGTCTGCCTTTCAGAGTCCACACTCCATCACCGAGGGTGGCACAAGTTGATTTGATTTAAACCCAACTCAGATCCCTGTAAGGCAGTGGTTCTCAACCTTCCTCAGGCCACAATCCTCTAATACAGTTCCTCATTTTGTGGTGACCCCCCTCCAACCATAAAATTATTTTCGTTGCTACTTCACTGTCATTTTGCTACTGTTGTGAATCGGGCGAACCCTGTGAAAGGATCTTGTGACTCAGGTGACCCCTGTGAAAGGATCGTTGGTCCCCCAAAGGGGTCGCAACCCACAGGTTGAGAACCGCTGCTGTAAGGGACTGGTTTGGAAAGCATTCAGGTAGAGGAAGCAGGAGGAGGGAGGTGGTACATGGAGACTTAGAGAAGAGGTCCTACAATTGTTTTTGTTTTTCATTTATTTAATTTTTGTTGTTGAGAATATAAACAGCAAAAACATAGCAGTGCAGCTTGTTCTACATCTGAAAGTCATGACACTGGTTATGTTCTTTGAGTTGTAAGCCATTCTCCCTATCCTTGTCTGAGTTATTCTTCCTTCCCCAAGTTCCATCAACTCACTGCCCCTACATTTCCTAGGCAGCATTCAACTTGCGATTGTTGGTTTGATCCCACCACATAGATGTTATAAAGGTCAAGACACAGTTTTTTTACTAGTCAAACTATTGTTTGTTTTTTATTCAAAAATCATTTTATTGGGGACTCTTACAGCTCTTAAAACAATCCATACATCAATTGTATCAAGCAAATTTGTGCATATGTTGCCATCATTATTTTCTAAACATTTACTCTCTAACCCTCATGATCCCTTGATAAATTATAAACTATTATCTTCATATCTTACACCGACTGCTCTGTCCCTTCCCCCATAGTTTCTGTTGTTCATCCCCCTGGTGGGGGTGGGGTGGGGGGAGGAGGCATGTGCCAATCATTTCCATCCATTCGTTCCCCCTTCCTCCCCGCCTCTCCCTACCATCCTGGTATCGCTACTCCCTTTCCTGTTCCTGGATTTCATGAGAATTTGAAATTCTGTTCTGCTTTTTTTCCCTTTTGATCAGGACTCTTCTATAGAATCGCTGATCCAAATGCTCAGCAATGATCACTGGCCACCATCCAGCTCTGCTGGTCTGGCAAGGGCGGCCTCCCACAGAGGCCGTCAGCCCCGAGTTCTATGCATACCTGTCAGTTCCAACTGTCAGACACTCTAGATCCTCCTCCTGTTCCTGAATTGTCTTCCTCAGTTGCTCCAAAGAGACTAGCTGTGTGACTTGGATGGCCCTTCCACAGGCAATATGCAGCAGAGGTACTAAACAAGCACTTATTAGATCAGTTGGGATGAAACCAAACCATGTCCTAAACCTCCAAACCAAGGGAAATCCCATGAGGTAAGGCTGGGGGGGTGGGGGTCGTCCTTGTAAGTATATCACAACTAACTGGTCCTACAATATTTTCTGATTAAGAGAGTTTAAAAGGCCTTCCTTGGTTTCATGCTTTGACATGACCTTGGGTACCTAATAAGAAACCTGGGTGTCACCAGTTTTCTCTCCAGGAGGGAGCCAAGGAGGCAGCTGGTGTGTTGTGAAAAGACCAAGGTTTAGAGGGGTGGGTCCTTCACCCTCAGCCCCTGTTGGTGTATCTACAAAGTTGTAATCCCCACCTCTTAGCTTGTACGTCGGAGCCCTAGGCTTTTCTGGGTTATTCTTACCCAATTACCATAAACTCACTGCTCCCTATATTTCCTAGCTAACATTAAATTGCTGTTGTCAGTTCAATCCCATATAGATCTTAGAACAAAGGTCAGGACACACATTTTTACTAGCTCAGCTGCTAAGCAGGAGGTTTGCTGGAACCCAGGAGTCAATGAGTGTACTAGTACCTGGCACTCTTCCTTTGGCGCCTGTTCAAGGCATTTGAAATCCTACCCCGTGAGTGAGGTTCAGCCTTATTTTATACAAAGGTTTGTGTGTGTGGTGTTGTTTTTAATCCCTTGAAATATACTACAAGAGTGTTTAAACTCTATTCTTAAATATCAGAAGGCCTAGTGGCACTGTGAAGAGCCCTGGTAGCATCGTGGGTTCCGTATTGGGCTGCTAAGGGCAGCAGTTTGAAACCACTGACTTCTCTGCCAGCGGGAGAAGACTTTCTACTCATGTAAGAATGTCTTTCACAAACCCCACGGGCAGTTCTACCCTGTTCTGTAGGGTTGCTGTGAGTCAGAATTGGCTCAGGTTGAGTTGGGTAGGGTTTGGGACAGTGTCATTTGTTCCTTGTTTGGTGGCACAGCTGCTAACCAAGTGGGTGGCAGTTTGACGCCCCCCTGCTGCTTTTAAAGGAGAAAGATGGGGCGTCTGCTTTGTAAAAATGAGGGACGGCCCTATATGTATGCCCTGTAGAGTTACGATGAGTCTGAATCACAATCCGTCCGTCCGTGTTGAGTATGCTTCCATTTTCCAACAAGGACTAGGGTGTGGGATAAAATGTGCCGAGGCAGCAGCGGTAGTACTGTGTTTAAAAAACCAAGAAGTCATCCAAGTTGCCAGTTGTAAAACTCCAGGCTGTGCTCCTGCCTTTTTACGTGCACTTTGTAAAGAACCACCGGCTTGGAGAGGTGGGCCTTTGCTTCCTTTCTGATGGCCCTGTGAATGGAGAGGCCCCTTAGTGCGGGATGCAGAAAGGTTTTTCCCAGGTTGTCACCTGCTTTCTAGGATCATTGTGTAGTCAGCTGCTTAGAGGTGTTCTCCGGGAGGGCCTTCAGCCATATAGAGCAATCAGACTACACTGTCTGCCCCACCACAGGTGGGACTCACACTCTACTGATAAGGATGGTGATTGTTTTCCTGGAGAGCCCAGAGAAAAAGTCAAGCCCACTCAAGGAAGGCCAAGGTGAGGCTGCCATCTTGAGTCTAGGATTCGCCCACGGGTACCTAGTCCCTCCCCTTCCTATTGCGTGTACACCCCTAGGTTGTACCCCCTCCCATTGCTTGTATTGCCTATAGTACAACCCCTTTCTGTAACCCCTTTCTGTGTGGTTACCTATCATCAGAGGGGTTTGCACACCCCTAAGTATATATATAAGCCTTGGTTAGACATATATTCTCTCCTCTCGTCTCCCACCTCCATGTGGACCACCAAGAGGGGCTGAGGTGAGCATGCTACCATGAAATGTGACTCCTTTATTTTATCGTCTACCTCTCCTATTCTCTATGACTTTACTGTAATCGTTACATATGATCCCCGTGCAATCGGACCTACAGACCCGTGGTATTGTTAGGCTGGTTTCCTCTGACACCGCAGCGGGGTGATTCCCTTTGGAGTTTCTCCACCACTTGGTGGCATTGCTCACTGATGATGCCTGCATTACTTGAAGACACTACCAAAGGGGGAAATGGAGCAAGGGGCCCATTTGTCCCCTTTTCCCCTGCTGTTTTAAAAGTTGGATCTAGCATGTTACTGGAACGCATAGCCCTGATGTTGGAATGCTCAGCTGCTAACCAAAAGACCGCAAGCAGTCTGAACCCACCAGCTGCCCTCAGAAAGACCTGCCGGCTGCCGCTGTAAAGATCTGCAGTCTCGGAAGCCCCGTGGGGCAGTTCTGCCCTGTTCTGCAGGATGTCGAGGAGTCAAAATCAACTTGGCAAGGACAGGTAGAGCTTGGGAAGGAGGGATGCCACTTTTGGTAATGTACAGCCGGCTCCTTGGAATTGGTCTCACAAGGTCAGAAATGTGCACACCTCTAGGGGGCGACAACAAAAAGCAGCCAGACGTCCTGCCCAAGGAGGTGAGGGGGCAGGGCCCAGAAAGTCCGAGGTTTACAGGGCCTGGTTTGGAAGCCCAAGTCCAATCTGGCGTGGGCATGAATGGGGAATGGAGGGGCCCCTCTCCCATCTAACAGCCGCACCCGACCACTGCCGTACTACACTATGGACCCTGGCGTTACCAGAAGTTGCTTTTTCTTTTCCCTCAAGAGAAGCCAAAAATTCAGATATTCATGCATAATATCCAATTTTAAAATGTGGATGATTTTTTTAATTACACAATACACTGGCCCCACTGAATTCTATAAATAACTCACTAAGTATGCCCTCTGCTTAGAGAAAGGTCATGGAATCCGAGTCCATTAAACCAGAGGTTAGATTCTAGTGCTGCTGTTAGGACAGCCAATAACTAAAGTCAGTTCCTTATGATGGGCCTGTAGTTACCCTGCAGCTCTGCACCTGAACTCTCTCCTGTGAGAAGAGCCTATCAACCATTCAAGATCAAAAGGGCAGCATTTACCAAAGGACAAAGTCCAATGGGCTAGGAAAGACAGAGGCCTGGGATGGACAACCTGGGCTGAGGGACACATGGGTGGGGGGGGGGTTTGCGATAGAAAAGCTGAGACCAACTCTGAGTCGAATGTAAAACTGGTGATCGGTTCACAATAAAAACTTTTAAAATAAAATCAGTTCCTGCTTGAGCTCATTGCCATTGAATTGACGATGCTGACGCATAGCAACCCTAGGGGACCAACCAGGCAGAACTGCCCCTGTGAGTTTCCAAAGCTGTCACTCTTTACAGGAGTAGAAAGTTCCATCTTTTTCCAGGGAGTGGCTGATGATTTCAAACTGCTGACCTTGCGGTTAGCAGCCCAACTCGTAACCTGCTGCACCATCAGGACTCTTTATTTAGGGAAATAAAAAGCAGGTATAGGATAACAATCGTGCCATGATCGGCACCAATCCAGAGCCATACAGCTAACACTTGGTGAGCGCCTACTTTGTGCAGAAAGTAGTCCTGCTGGTACAGTGGTTAAACACTGGCTGATAAGTAAAAGGTTAATGCTTCAAACCCCCAGTTACTCCGTGGGAGAGAACCATTGCAGTCTGCTTCTAGAAAGTAACAGCCTTGG